TTAGCCGTGTCGTGGCAAACACCGAGTCGCGTTTTCGTGGCCGATGCAGCGTTAGACCTTTTATCCCTCGCCATCGGCTACCATTTCGTTCGCAAACGAGCGTAAACGGGGACGGGAGAATTCGCGTTCTCAGGAATCGATGAAATCCTAGTGTACAGCTACGATTTAACCCTTCTCTACCTATCTTACAACCGATTGAGACACTACGCGGGATACTTGACTTTTCTCCACGCTACCTGCTTATTTCGGATGCAGGGTTAGAAAAGATAAACGCTTGATTATCTAGTCAGATTTTCTGATGAATACCTATGCATGTTCAATGGAGCTTCTTGTAAATTTTCAATAACCAACCTCACGGATTTACATGAAATCAAAGAAAATATAGAAACGAATACTTTAAACGGGTTTCGAACGACGATTAGACGCAAAGTGTTATTTTCAATAGCACGGTCACGTTAACAACGTTACGCTTCAACGACGACGCCAAGTTTCGCCTAGCTAACCTCAGAAACAGCCAAGAAACGAAAAAGGAGAAAAAAAAAGGAAGAGAATAAAGGAAAAAGTGGAGGGTTAAGCTTCGGGGCGAGAGCCCCTGGTCGATTCGTGCAGCCATCCTGGAGCTATCGCGTCTCATCTTGAAAAAAATGTTAACAATCACCCGTGAAGGTACACGAGAGAGGCTTATCGAGATTCCAGCACGTTTCCAGCCAGCGAAATTATCTTTCAGCGAACCCTCTAAGAAGGTAACCGCTTACGCTCGTGGGTGGATGATTTATCGAACGAACCGACGAGATTTTCCATTGTTTGGGAAAATTGAAAACACCTCGCGATAGGAATCTCAGGAAAATGATGAATTACATGGGACAGGAGAAACGCTGCTTACAGTTCATTGAAATGCGACATTGTTTTAAATTCCTAAGCATCCTCTTCTGAAGATCCATATTTATCTAACGTGTAGCTACATAATTGCTACAGGCAATCATCGTGAATCGAAAAATCAGTAAATCTACAATCACAAATCTAAATAACAGCCTTGTATCTGTGTTCCTATTGACATTTTAACGAAGGTGCTGTTATGCGTATTCGCTTATTAAAGAATTTTCCACAGTACCTAATAGCAGTCGTTCACCAATTACGCTGACTCGTGGGAAGAATCTCCGTTTACCTTCGAAACAACGCGATACTCTATCTCAGACGGTTTTATCTAATTCTTCGGATGCAGCGGTAAACTAACATCAGAGGTTGGAGAATTCAAATTTTCTCAAGCAGCTGCCGTGTTGGCGAGGTCAGCATCGGCAGGTTTTGCCGCGAACGCGGAATTTAATCGAACCTGCGACACAGACACGCGCATACCTGTGGTGTAATCGAGGATGGAAAGACCTGTATAAAAGTAGGTCCATTGAAAACGGAATCTCGATACCGAAACAGTGGAGCACACGATGCTGAGGAACACGCGAGCCATGGACCGCTATACGCCTGCATACGTTCGCGCCAGATGGTCCGTCACACGCCAACGGACACCGGCTTTTTTCACCTTTAATTGCATCCGTGTCCAACTCTTTCAACTACTCTTCTCCAGTTACAATTATCGTCGAAAATTAGAGATACTGTAGGATAGTGGACATTTTCTAGTGTCAAGCTTAGTCACACGAATACGTTTAATTTAGGTTAAGGTAATTTACTATAAGGTCATGGTAACGAGTCGAATACCTGCAGAACTGACGAAGCGAGGATTGCAACAAGGTCGAAAATCGCAGGTGTAACTAGTTACAGAAATACAATCTTCATTTAATTCCCACCTCACTTGCTAGCCCGATTAGCGAAAAATTTTCGGTTATCTATCTTGGAGAACGAGGAACGCTCCAGGAGCATCGTATACCGAGGATTTATCGAATGTCTCTGCGACAGGCTTGGAAATTGGGTCCCCTGAGGTCGCGAGAGGAGTAACCGCTACTTTTATACCAGATGGCGCGAATCCCGGGTTCCCAGCGTGTAAACAATCCGCCTTCTGAAGTTCAAAGTATCAATCTTGATATCGTCGAGCGGTGAACACTGGGACCCGCTTCGAACGGTTGTTAACAATAAATCCCAGTGTTGCACGGTTGGCTGTCTAACAAGTTTCCATGGGATTCGCGATGCGGGCTTTCACGTACGGTCTGAAGATTCATCGCAGAGCATTCACGGTGGATGATCAAATTATTATGATCCCTCATTTTTGTCGAAAGAATCGTTGCTGGACAAAATGATGATCCGAGAGGATTTGGTATTTGAATTACGTGATCGCATAGCTTGCAACAGGTTAACACGATGCCAGAATTAATTGGTTCGCGTAAAGCAATAAAACGAACGAGCATCCTCCTCCGATACGGAACGGAACAATGCCACCTACGCTTTGTGTGCAAATCGACTCGCACGAGAACAGTTCTCTACGAACAAAATGAGACGAGGATCTTCGTCTCGATCCTTTTGTCGTCTCACTGTTACCAGATGGTGGTGCAGTTGTTCGCATCTATCGATGCTGTTGCTCTCGTGATTCGGTCCCGCGATTAAACCTGCTGGCTACGTAATGTCAAGATCGCGCTGAAGAATTTGCAAACGCACGCGAATGCAAATGAATCGATTGCAACTACCGAACGCTCGACACTTTTCTTTCCATACTTTGCGACGGTGAACAAGCATTTTTTTCTTAGCGAAAAAGATTCAGTCTTTGCGTATATTTCTTTTTTCTCTTAGCTCGTTCCACCGTTAACGCTTCGAAACAGTTACTTCTGCCATTACGATGCATCGTGAACATCAAAATCATAAAACATCGGGTGCGATTTGGATTACGGTAGTTTCGCCGGAATATGCACTATAATATTTGTACGATAGTACATATTTTATAACAGAGGTCATTCCGATATGCAGATGCAACTCGCACTATCGTATTCCCTCCTATCTCCTTTTATCTTGCGTTTAATTATTCTTAACATTGCATGCCGCAATTCAGATTAACCTCCGTTGCTCGCTTCAGATTTATTTGAATAAGCAGAATGATTATTGCTTATTTTCTAATACAAAAGGAGTAGAAAACAAAAAATTTGTCAGAAGTGGGATTCGAACCCACGCCCACAGAAGTGGACTGCGACCTGAACGCAGCGCCTTAGACCGCTCGGCCATCCTGACTTCGTGGAGACCTCGCAAAATATATTATAAATATCCATCAACGCTTCTGTATTTAATGTATTAATTTTTAATCGATGAAAATCAAAAATAAAGTGAAGTTTAACGAAAGGAATATGATTCAAATGGTGTGTATGAATATCATTTTCAAATTTTTAAACTGTCTATAAGCGTCACCAAGAGGCAGTATCGAATACTACCTTAAGAGAAACTGCTAGATCGATCATTAAGATATCTTTTCTATCAACCGTCGGGTATGCAGTTTGCTCCCAGGGTTTGTGTCCAAGAGAAATTCCATTCGTTCAAAGAGAAACTCGGGTAGTGTTGAAATAGACATTTGAAAATAGCGATAGAAATTTCTTTCCGCTAATACTTTGACTTTCACTTCTCTGTATATACAGGTTTGCTAACGAATCCGGTGTGTTCGCGCAAGTTTCGCAATCAGTGGAAGAAAAATACGTGGGAAATATTAATATAAGTTGAAAAAAGGCGTATAATCAGTTAGGGGGAAGAAGTTTTAGCCGAATTGTCCTGTGGGCAGACTAGAAAAGATCAATTAACCGGGCTCGTTCGGGGGACAATACGTAAAGCTCTGGCTGCCAAACTGTCAAAGTGTCAGCTATGTTACTTGATGAAGGAAAAAGAAAGAAGGAGAAGTGATTGCTGCAACAGCGTTGACCCGCATCGCAATAACGTCAGCTGGAATCGAGGGTAAATTGCTTTCTCGTCGGTTCGAAGCCAATAAAGCGGTGTCTCGTGGAGATCCAGCTCCTTCGAGCAGACCGGTTGCCACTCGTACGCGTATAGAAAGCTCGGTTGCATAACGGAACAACCGGATCTCCTCTCATTCGACCGATGGTTTCCGCGCTGGCGAACAGGTCGTTCAACGAAAACAGCAAAGGGCGAATTGATAGAGAAATTTCGTGATAATTTACGAGCTCCTTCGATCGAACGAACCGCGATGGTTCGCGATCGCGTAAACGCGTCGAATAAAAGTGAAAATGAATGAGGCGATATTTTACACGGCCCCGCGTTAACGAGCGGGCACAAAGGGTTATCGCGAACTATGTTGCCGAGCTTGGTAACAATGAAATACGAAACATGTTATTCGATGAATGGCCAATATTGGTTCTTTTTTTTTGTTGCTTTTCTGTTCGATAGCTTTGAATTCTTTGGTACGATTGATCCTGTATACCTGCTATTGTGTTCATTTTAAAATTGGTTTACAAACCCCTGTTGGTGGGTTGATTCTTGAACAATTTAACAATGAACGAACAGCTGACCAAATTGATGCAATTGAAAGCAAGCTTCTTTGTTTCCGATTGCAGGTGATTCGCAGAGAAAATAGAATAGTAGTCGAAACGGTAAGCAGTTTTGCGATGTAACGATAACGATCGCGTTTAAAGTCCATTACGCGAAAGGTGATTCAATTTAACGTCTTCTAGCTGCTTTCTCCAAACATTGTTAGCGAAGGAAAAAAGATATTCTCCGTTTATGTACTCGGGATTCAAAGACTTATACCATAAAAAACGCGCAATTCTTGCTTAAAGATCGACACCGTTTCGTCAAATAATTGCACCATCGAGGATCGGTGATTTTCATAAGAAGCGAATAGACGCCTTGGCGTAACGTGGAAATGACCAATAAACCTTTTGATTACTGTCATTTCACGGGTAAATAATTTGACGTGCAACGAGCTTCGAAATACCGATATGGCGCAACGCGAACGCGTGGTTTAATCGATTTCATGTTTTCATTTCTATAATAATATAACCAAGAAGACGGAGAATTCATTTCCCAATCTAACACTTCAATTTGCTATTCCAAATGAAATGAAATCGGGCACCTATGGAGTTAGGAGGTCAAACTCCCTTTCTGCCCGCAGCCAGAAAAGAGGGGCCTAGCTATGGAACAGGTATTGCCACGAGGACCGGCAGGATTCGAGAAGAGTTTCGCAGAAATGGAGACAAGCCTGTTCGTGGGGATGAAGAAGGAGGAAATTTACCAGGTTAAAGTATATCGTCGAGAGAAAGGGGAACCTCGCGGGTAAACGCGACTGGTAACTTTGATTCGCTCCATTCAGTGCGTGATCCTTAGCCACGTGTGTGCGTCCACCTTTGTTCTAGCTCGAAAGTTCAATCCTTTACTCTTCTACTCTGTTCGTAACAAAGTATACCGATAAAACGATCGAACGCTTTCAAGATAATTCTTTCCGAAGACCTTGCACTCGAAACTCTCTTCGAGACATCGATGACTTCTTTAAGTGTTTACGATCGAATCTAGTGGCCGGCGAAAAAAGAAAGTGAAGCCGTAAATAGAGAGTTTGCAGTAACATTTGAACGCGTGCCAACGATCGACGTTTCGTGTGATTCAACATGCACGAGAATTATCCGTCAATCAGTTAGCTTAGATGTGTTTTCTTCAAAATTCTCTTTAAGGATTAAAATCAAAATGACTTCGATATATTATTTATTAATAATAAGCTGTATCCTTCAGACGACAATATCGAAAAATGAGTCGAATATTCTGAGACTCGGTAAGCCTCGAGATAAATCGTCGATCACCACCGAGACACCGAATTCGAATAGCACCGATCAAGCAGACGAGAAAGAGGCGTCGAAGGAACGGCGCCCTTTAATTGAATTCAGCAAGAACAATCCGGAACTAGATTGGAAGAACTACCTGAAATTGTTCGACGAGAAGGAAGAAGAACAGAGGGATCTGGACGTCGATTTTATGAAAGAGAAGCTCGAGAAAACGGCCAACAGCGTCCAATGGTTGGCGGATCTTTACGATCCACTCAAATGGTCCAGATTACCTGGTAAACTCGACGACAATTGCAGAAGAGACATGGAGTTCTTCTTGAAGTCTCTCCAGGATGGGAAACTCTGGGCCGCTAAGAGTGAGTACGGAACGAAACTTCATCGAGTGGTGCTGCTGGGTTAGAGATAACGAGTTCCCGCAATTCCACACAAGTTACTTTATTGTCGGGGTGTATATTTCACTCGAGGGGATGTACACAGACCGACCGCGTAGATGAAAGCCACCCTTGGAACAACGGTGTTTGGGTAGAATAATAAATGAAAGCTATGATAATATTCGGGTAATGACGGGATAGTAAGTGGTAGAATTTTGTCACTTTTAAAAGAGAATACGTGGAAAGGATAGGAGGTTTGTCAACAACCGTGTACATGTTTAGAGAGTGAAGTGCAACGTGCCGTTCGAGATCGACAAACGGGTAGCGTTCAATTTGGTCCGCTTTAGAGAAATTCATGGTTCGGCAAGTTTCCAAGTACCGTGTCGCTGGCAGACAACTTGCTCTTGCCAAATGCGTCATTACTTTGCGAAACTGCAATTTACCGCCTCGTAATAGCCACCCTTCTCCCTTTCCAAACCTCTCCTTACGCCCTGCTCCTTTATCATCCCAGCAAACCAACCATTTCCACCTTATTCCACCGAACAAACAATGATAAATGCCAACAAAAAATATGATTTCTTTTTTTAATGGAACGCGTTGCTCGGGCTATTCAAACGTCTATCAAAGTTCCCGAAGAATAAAGTATTCATTTCAATTCGAAATAAGCGTGAAGCTGCCACGATTGAAAACTCAGAGTTTCTGGACCAGGTGACACTCGACGCCACCCACGGGTTACGCAATTGCCTTATTTTCATAAAGCATGGCATTCAACCGACGGCAACGTGAAACCTATTACAGATTCATATGCTTTCTATAGGCCGGAACTTCCAACACTTTATATAATTTGATTTACCGGAGAACCGGCAGGAATACCAAACGTAGTCCGTTTCGTAATATCGCAAATGACCAAACATACGTCGACGAAATAACGGTTCTAAGAATTTTTCACCTCGCATTTCGATCGTACTCTTTGACATTTAAGAGAAAATTATTTTTCTCAAAAAGAGGATCGGAGCGACGTCACGAAATTTCTCGGTGGGTCTTTATTACACGCGCGTCGACAAACGACCACTTTCTCTATTCTTGTGGTCACCAGCCGGCTATTTACGTAACTGGCAATGAACCTTTACACGAGCAAACGTGGTCGTGTAACTCAAACCCTGGAAAAGCATGACTCTGACAATTTTACACCCCCTCGAGATTCAATTTTCCAGAACAATATTTTAACGATCTGAATCTATCGTACCTTTATACCACCTAATTGCCACTATCAATCGTTTATTACAGTGTCAGACGCGAGCGGTCGTTATTCGTCGCAATTTTATTTCGGTAACGGTTTCTGGCTCGGTTCGAGCAGCCTCTGCAAAGAATTGAACGGAACCGATGGAAACATTGGTACGGGGATCGAGGACAGGCCGCCCTATCCGGTGAAATTCCACGTGGCCAGGATGTACCTCGCTTTACCCAAGGAAATAGACTTCTCCGTAAGTATACTTGACCCTTTTTTTCACCCCTCCTTTCCATTTAGGTCGTAAGGGAAAAAAGTTATTTAAGAACGTTATCGTCTTCTGGTATCAAGGAATATTTAAAAAGAGACATTCATAGAACGAAAAGAAAGCGAATCAGATAAGAAAAGAAAGGAAGGAAAAGGAAAAAGTGAAGGCGCTGAAACTTTTCAACGTAGTTGTAAAAATCAGAAGTCAAAGCAAACTCGGCGAAGAACAATAAGGGACGAAGATTTAATTAACCTTAAAATTGAATCTTCTATCTTGGTTTAACTTGTGGCTCCTCGAAGTTAATCGAAAAAGTAGCCCGATTTCTCTTGTTATAAGTGAAACCGTTTAATTTGCAGACACGACAACTATTCCTCGGTCTCTGTTTACCAGCTACCTGTGGTCAAGTATCTCTGACCTCGATGTTGAGAGCAAACGCGGATCGAGTCGAACTAGAAGGTAATTCGACTTATCGAACGATCGGACCGAAAATTCACATCATTTCGGTGAAACAAGTACCCTCCAGCGACTACACCGCTTGGCACGACCCCAAGTTTTACGTCCTCTCGTAAGTAACGCAACAACTTTTATCTCACGCTTTCGTAAGCTGCAGAAATCAAATCTTCGACCATGCTTTACCTATTAACCGGTGTTTAGAATGTAATTTCACGCTGATTACTGTGGAAGCGAGACCTTCGCGCCCAATACAGATGGGATCCAAGTACTTAGCAAGTAACTTCCAGTCTGACAGAATAGTTTCGAACCACGAGCACGTTAAACGATACTGCGTAACACATAATGCACTTCCCGCGATACTTCTGAAAGCGACACTTTCGCGTGTGACACACGAGATATTTGAAGGGACGGTGCCGAGTTACGTAAAAAAAAAAAAAATTTGTTAATTGCTTCCGGGAGTGCAGCAATCGAAAGGCGAGGTCCAAAGATAGGCCACGCTTCAGGATGTCTATACGTTCAATTTCAATCGAGTTGAAACAGTATACCATTACCTAATTTTCATTATCCCACCGGCGAAAATATAATTCCTCAAAGAATTTGATAATAGTCGAATATATAAGGCCGACTGTCCGAGTGCAGTTACGCGAGCGGAATTTGCGCAACCCGCAACTCGCAACGGTTACGTTCACTTCGATAAATAAGAGAGGCACGGAGAGTGGCTTGTGTCCACGTAATTACGCGTTAAGATTCGCGGTGCGAGCCGGTTAACCCGCAACAATGTTGCAATCCTTTCTAACGCAGCTCGAGCAATCAGGAACACGGTAAATTTTATTAACAAAAACGGATAAAACTATTTGTCGCGGTCTAATTCGATGATTGAAGAAACATAAGAATTCTTTGGATGGTTTCCTGAATATTTTGTAACGCGTTTACGTATCGTTCAAACGAAAGTGATTACGTATGCGCGTTGAAAAACAACACGTAAGAGGACATAAACGTATGAGAAGTGCATCGATCTTGACTCCCTGTATGCGAGTGTGTAATAACCTGCGTCTTGTTGACTTTCTTCTTTCTGGGAGCAGCAACCTTACGAAGGTTGCTGTAATACAGGCCGCCTCAAAAAACAATGTGCATTGGAAAAATTGCAAACTTTCGGTGTCGGAGATACGTTTGTAGGAATAGAAAAAGGGTGAAAGTGAACCTTGGTGATTTGATAACCCGTTCTGCCGTAGTCAAGCTTATTGCTTATACCGGCGGTGTTAAAGGGCGCAAATTGAGTTAAAAATAAATCCACAACCAGGTGGCGCGGGGTTGGACGAAATTCCACTGGGTTAGCGACTACACCCACGCGCTTAGCGCCCAAATCTCTGCCCCAGACGTCTATAACTCCGCTTTTTGGAACGTGTGCCGGCAGACCGCTAGCGAGAACAGATCAATCCCTTCGCCACCTGGCGGTCGCCGACCCGAGCTAAGGGTGCCCGGGAAAACTCACCGTCTTCTCCTTCCACTAAACGCCTACACATTATTTTTGGGATACCCTGTATTTAATCGATCCTCGTAATCGAACCTTTTCGTTACAATTCACGGTACAACCTTATCGAAATTAATGGCCATCAGATATGATACACACATACACGTGTTCCTTGGTTTCTGCACTTTCTTCCGAGATGAAATTACCCCCCTTTACGTAAACCTTCCTGTAAACCGACCCAATATACTTTCCTCGCTTATTACAAAAACACTCATAAGTGTATTACAACATTCGGCGTGTAACAAGAAAAAAAAGGTATTATCTTGTCGCGAACCGATTTCTTGGAAAGAGTGTTGCAAATCTGTTGCTACAATTTGCTCTACTTTCAATAAGTTGAAGCAAAAAGAAGTTTACGTTATTAAGTAAAAGGATATGGACGTTTGAAATTCTATTTTTAATTATGCGAAAACATTTGTAACCGACTGTATTTGTTGTCGGCAGAACGGAACGAGGGATTGCGAGAAACGATAAAAAGATCGGCAATCGCGAAAATGTTAAACAAAGTATAATGGAAATCGTAAAAGTTCGCAACGTTAATCGAAAAACTTTCGCCGTAAACGTTTCGATTCTATTCACGAGCCGAGCATCGTTAGGGTAGTTCCTACGGATGAATTAACTTACAAGGTGCAACTTCCAGCCGAACCACGAATTACGTCAGTAATACTTGCAACCTACTATAAATACAAAGGTTTGCACCTCGTCCCGTCCTTGCACGCGATGCATATCAAAATTATAACCTAGTAGTTCAAGTTCCAAGGCAAGCTACAATCTAATGGCCCGATTTCAATGAAACCGTTAAGCATCGCTCACAAGGGTTAATGTGATTATTCGCTTCCTTGAAGATCTATCTTAAGGTCAGGGTTGTTTCCTTCCCATTCTGATATTTCGAAACCTCTTTCTACCTTCATTTTTCTAATTACTTTTCCACGCCGGTATTACCAAACAGAATCGTTAAACAAGATTCGCGGTTGTTCAGATCGTGTGGCATCCTGTACAATACATAGAATACAGGAATGCATATCGACGAGTGAGTAAGGTCTACACGTGTGTCTCAAATGTATTACGCAAGATCATAGAAAGGCTGAAAGCTATGGCACGTGAAAGTGAAGTGGTCGCACTATCGTGTGCATTCCGGTCGAATGCAGGCATCGTACGATGCAACTCTTCTTCGGATATCCATGGATCATCGAAGAGAAATCGAAAAGTAGAAGCCAACCTTTACTTTTCGCTAACTTAGTATTATTTTTACAAAATCCTTTTATTGAATATTTAGAAGGAAAGCGTAACTATCGTTCCCCTCGAATCGGTCCCCACTTAATCTACGAAATCGTTAAGTAGAGATCAAGATCGTTTCCCAAGAAATTGCACAAGACAAGACTAGACACGGTGTTGCAAGTGTCGTGTTGCATAAAATCAGCGAACTTCGGTCAAACGTATCATTGAATAAAACACGCGTACTTCTTGGTCGTTACGCGAAAGATTCAGCCGGATCTCCAATGCAAACGCTCCCATAATCGGGGAAATTTAATTGAATGAAACTGAAAGAAACAGACCGTGAACTGGTACAAGTTCCGAAACTATACACACGATCTTCGTATATTTTCTGGCCAGGTCATTTAAATTTATGAATAACATTAAATGAAAACTTCCACTGGCAAGGATAGCGTCCATAAATTTTCATTTGCAAGCATTAAAGGATGAGTAAGAGAAAGTACGATCTAGAAGACAGTAGGGAAAGCTTTTCTTTTTTTTTCGAAATTTAAACACCTCTAGAAAGGAATCGCTCGTAGAAGAAAAATTTGTATTCGAGCAAGGATTATCAGCTCTTCTCCTTAAAGAGTTCAACGAATCGTGACATTGACGTCGCGACGCTTCTTCGATTCAACTTCGCGTGACCTGTTTACTCTCGAGGGACACTCGACGCAGGCTACAATTTACGGATAAATTGAAAATTTCTACCGCCGCATCCCGCAGGAATCGAGGAAGAGTTAAATGAAAGTACACGGATCGAAGTTACATTTCAACAGTGAAACGATCGCTTGAAACTTTTACAGAGTGCTCGATTCCGCTTCCTATTTCCACTTAAAATTTCACGAACAAATTGAAGCTAAAGCTCGAGGAAACGAAGAGAAAGAATGAAGAAGATCGTGAGAGAATGCAAATAGGCCGCGGAATAATTTCGATGGCCTAACTTTTTATCGCGGCTGCTTTTCATTCGTTTCACGGTTGCGAAGAATCGTGGCATTAAAACCGAAAAGGAAAAACCTGTCCACTGTTTTACTCTCAGTCTGTGTCTCGCGATTCGCGTTCAAGATTTTGCCAGCTTAGCGAAACACCAACTTCTTTCTCATTGTTCTCGTGTTCACCGTCGGAATAACTTAGCACGTTCGTGACTGAGGTTTTACCGTGGCACGATTACCAACGACCAGATTCTTATCATCTTTATCTAATTATGATGTCAGCAATATACTTCGAACTTTTTTCAAGACGCGTACGGTGCGTTATCGATTGCCTTACAATTAGATGACATATATTTCAATAGCTCTTTCAAAGTATGACACGATATTTGAGAAGATATCCGTAAAAGCGACCACGCGCCAAAGGATAAAGAGCACCCATTCGTCTCGATAGCGGAGAATTCCAATTTATATCGGGACGCCATCTGACTGCGGAGTATTATTTATTAGGGCAATGATTAATAGAGCTCCTCGATGATCGATTTATCTCTCGATGGTAATTAATCAAAGCAAACGAGACAACTGCACAAACGAAGCATAAACCTGCCGGGAATCTGTACCATGATTTCTGTTATAGAAACGCGTACGGAATTACGCGTGCTAATAGAAATAACCCAATTATCGGGAGCAGATGGGAGGTTATTAATTCGAGGAGATATTAAATACAGCCGCAGGTGTTTATATTCAAATGAAGCCCTGAGTAATTCGTTCGATAATCTAAGGACAAATTGCGAGATGCTTCTGATTGTTAATTTTCAATCAATCTTAAAAGTCTTAGGAAACGTTGAATAATCGTACCTTGAACGAATTTTATTCTTAATTGCATTTTAACCGAGGTGACAAAACGCCGTGAAAGAAGCAGATTAAAAATGAAATGTACACCGCGGAAAAAGGGTATGCCTTATCGCTATAATTTAAGAGCGGTTTAGTTGCTACTATTAATTTTACGTTTTAATATCCGCTTTAATGGTCCGCTTTACCTGGCACAAACCACCCTGTCCCATTCGCTTGGAAACAAACATAAAGCGCCAGCGTAAAAACTTATCCCATTAAAACTCTTCGAATAACACATAATTCAGAATAACCACTTCTTTTTTCAAACGATTCGAATATCTTCTAAGTTTAAAATAAAAACCGACAAAAATCCTAAATCCTAAATGCATCGATTTTTCAGAGGAATCGGTGGCACGATAGTGTTTCTGATGCTATGCGCCACGATTTACGAATACAGAGCACTACCGAACGTAAGCGACGTAGAATCCTCGAGCGTGTCGAATAACAACGAGAGGCTCAGCAATTTCTCCAACAAAAATTTGAATCAGGATCACGCGTCGGCACAAGAGAACGGAGAGGAGCTGATCGAGAAAGGAAAGAGTTTACAGAAGGATCTACCCGATCTTCCAAAGAAGGAGAGTAAAAGAGGTATGAACGAGGTTCTTTGCGAATGGATCTGAGTAGCGATTTTTTATTTTTTTCCCCCTTTCACGATGAATCTGTTACAGGATTCTGGTTGACGTGCCTGACAGCGTTCAATCCTATCGCGAACGGAAGCAAGATCCTCAGCACAGAGCCTGCGGCCAGAGATAGTCTGACTTGTTTGCACGGTCTAAGGGTGTTCTCTCTTGGGTGGGTGGTTATGGTGCACACCTATCTGCAGGTTTACTCCATCGCCGGTAAGCATTATTTCGCTTTCAAAGGATAAGGTTACGATGCACCGTTGCACAGAAAATTAATCAACGTTAAGCATTTTCTTGATCGTTTCAACTAATCTTTGATGAATATCATTCCATCTATCAGTAATAATCGGGTATCCCTAGTTCACAATCGTGACAATAATCGTAATTAAGAGTAGACGAATGAAATTTTCGTTTTCAATGACGATCGTCTGTGTATTAATCCAACTCGAAATCCAATTAAAGCATTCCACTTTCTATCGACATCCCCTCGCGTAATCCGTGCAAACGTATTGTGATATAACGAAACGTACGGTTTTCCTGATCCATCGTAATCCAACCTTACGGTGAACCAAGTCAAACTTTCACTGATAATTCCAAGATGATGACTTTCTCTGTCGTGATTTACAGAGAACAAAACCTTACGCACGGTGACCGAGAGAAACTTCATGTTTCAAACTATCAGCAACGCTACATTTTCCGTGGACACGTTCTTTTTCATCAGGTAAGCACGCGAACTAATTATTTTCATTTACGAAAAGAACGTTTACCTAATCGATTTCTTTTTCAGCGGTTTGCTGGTGACAATCTTGTTCTACCGATCGTCTGGAAGCTTAAAGAACGATAAGGACAGTTTCATGAAGACCTGCTTTAACAAATTTATCATCATGATCCTTTACAGATTTATCAGGTATGCAAAGACGAACTTTCCTCGATAATTTTGCATGAATTATTCCGAAAGTTTTCAGATTCCTAAAATGTTCTGCGTCACGGTGACGCTTGCGAAAATACCTAGTAATTAGATAATTTTTAAGGTAATAAATTATATCGTTAGCTGATGTCTAAACGTCATGTTGAAAATCCTCTTTCGTAAAAGAGCGAGGCAAACAATGTTCGATCGAAATTAAAAATTTGGCACGAGGTTGCTGGATCGATTTAGATAGAAAAACGTCGTGCAAACAAAGGACACGACACGATCATAACCGCACTGACCTCTTTCAATTTCCTTTTACCAAGATTGACACCGGCGTACCTCTTTGTCCTGGGGATAAACGAGATCGCCATAAAGCACACGATATCGAGGACAGTATTCTCGCCAGAGATCATCGATCACTTGACCTGCGAGAAATTCTGGTGGAGGAACGCCCTCTACCTAAACTCCTTGTATCCTCGAAAGGAAATGGTAAGAGGAACCTAACAAATTACCTATTCACCAAATTTAGATACATGTTTTTGTTTACCCTTGTTTCGGATCATTCGTACAACCCACGTCGCAAACATTGCTCATTCCATTCGACGATTATCATAAATTACTATTAAACTCCGTTAGCGATTTACTTGCCCAAATTACTATAACATCCTGGATTATATAACGCGTAAAAATTGGGTCAACGCTATTTTAGTCGACAACGAAACTAAAATAAATGGTCCCCATTATGAAAGCAAAGATTGCAAAGTAAGAGTTGACGTAACCAGAGCGCGTAGACAATTAAATGAAAGGATAGCGATGCACCCCTAGTAGCGGATGTAGTAAAATTTTCAGCAGGAAGTAGGAATTGCCGGTGGATGCGAGAGTACGCTGCGTCTCGATCGTTTTCCGATAATTAGTTCTACGATTCAGAGAAAGTTCGAAAACGATGAGACAACGCGGCACGTCTGACCGAGCCCGAGATTAATTTTAATTTTTCAATTGTATTCTTTTAATAACCGAGCGATCGGTATCTAAGAATTCAATCTTGTCGAGTAATTAAGAAGCAAAGATACAAAGAAAATTTCAACTCTCGTTGAAATGATCCATGAAGCGAGGATTTTTATACGTGGAAAAGTTATCGATCGAAATTTCATTGCATCCACGTTTATTAAAATTGAAAAATCGTCGGGCTGCGAATGCGTCGATTGAACAGCTGTTATCGTCAAGCCGTCACGATGCTCGTCGAAGCCTATAAAACGCTATCAAAAATGACTCCCACTTGATCAACTCCATTCTCTAATATATATAATAGTTCGACGTTTGATCCATTAGCTTCACGCCTTTTTCACCGGGTATAGGATTTTCCTTTCGGTCAAGTGTTTTCCGATACTTTCGCCCGTTTCGACCTAATCAAAGTTCGTTGAACCACGATCAAACGCAATTATCCAACGTGTTAACGATTAATAACTTTCCAGTGTATGCTGTGGAGTTGGTACATGGCAAACGACACCCAGTTCTACGTTCTCGGAATATTTTTACTTCTTCTCTCAATTAAATATCTGAAAGCGATCGCCGTGGTCGTTCTGCTCTTGATCGTCTCGTCCTGGTTCACCACCTTTTCCAAGGCCTACGCCAACGATTACATAGCCAGGTAACTTTACTCTCAATTACCAAATTTCCTTTTCTTCCTTTTCGTCGATACAAATGAAAAATTATGTAACAGGTATAACGATATGGGATCGCAATGTTACACAGCCTCTACGTAGGGTTAATCAGAAAATATTGCAAACTCGTTAATTGCGTGCATGCAAATACCGTTCCACTTTGCTTCTGTTTAATATTAAACTTTCTTCAGCCGTTTTTTCTTCATTTTCCATGGCTCGTGTTTACTTCTGAGAATAAATAACTAGTGCGTTTATCGAGCAACGAATGAGAACGAGTTACGTAATATCCTTTTCTTTATAGGATATGACACGGTTTCGATACAATTAGTTTTCGCGAAAAAAAAAAAGGAGCGGATTAATTTTTTTACATTTAATTCCTTGACTCGTGGCGATACAAAGAATCGTATTTGAGGAACGGTGAAAGTTTCGTGTAACTTATAAATAGAATTTATGCTCGTTGAAAAATTTCCAAGTTGTTCATCTGGAAAATGAAATAAATTCATTCCATAATTCCTGTGTATTTTTTCTATGTCATTTTCTTTTCCCTCGTAGCAGAAATTTTACAAGGCCTTATGTAAAGTTTAATTTTCTCCGTTTCTCCGCGCAGGATCCAAGAGCCGTTTGCCCTTTTCGACGAGCTGTACGACAAGCCCTGGCTAAGAGCTGGTCCTTACTTTGTCGGGATAATCACTGGTTACATTTTGTTCAAAACTAGCTGCAAATTGAAATTACCGCTGGTAAGTGAGTTATCCTAACGTTACAGAATATGTAACGCAAACGTTTCCATCTACTAAGGATAAGACATCCGAGCGTGGGAGGTTCGCTTTCAACGCGAAGCTAGGAAAAGCCTCCGTCGTTCGGCTCGTAAAAAGACGATAAAGATTCTACAGCGATAATGATGAAAGGTCGAACACAACTGTTCCAGATTGCACGATTGATCGGCTGGATATTGTCTTTCGCCATAATGTTTTCGCTGGTTTACGGTCTATACCCCGGAAATTTAACGGTGACGCTGAGTTCCGTTTACGCCGCCTTGGGTCACACAGCCTGGGCGATAGGAGTATCCTTCATCGTGATTCAATGCTGCACCGGATCCGCCAGAATGATCGACAGCCTGTTGTCACTTAGGCTGATGTATCCGCTCTCGCGGTTAACTTACTGCGCCTACCTGGTGCATCCTGTCATCATGATGGTCACCGCCACCCAAATGGATGGCCCGCTCCACCTTCACAACGACGTCGTGGTAAGAGTTGAATAGGATCTTTTTATACCGTCAAGAAAGAAGCTTTAAGGCTCAAAAGCTCGTTTGCTTCTTCGCAGTTGATTCTGTACTTCGGCAATCTGGTCGCCTCGTACTTGATGTCCTTCTGCATCTCCATGGCGCTCGAGGCGCCTGTAGTCAATCTCTTGAAGATCGCTTTTACCTCGAAGAAGAGGATCAGGTAGAGAAAGATCGAACGTGACGGATCTGGTGATCGATAACGGAATAATGGAGTCTATGATGCCGTCCTCGCGATAGACACTCCATTCGGAGAAGAATCTTATCGATTTCATGATTCCCTCAGGAAATAATCGCGGCCCACTGACAAAGGGAAACGGTACGGGCCAGGTGTTTCTCGATGAAACCTCTTTTCGTGGATTCGTTCTACCCGACAATGCCAAACTCCAGGAGACTCTGTTAACCATAGACCACCCCAAGTTTACACAGTTTTCAGTGGCAACAACTTTGTGTGTTTCGTTTAGTGTTCGAAATGTAACAGTAGTGCTTCTTCTTATTTGACTGCGTTGCTGATTGTGTGCCTGACTATTTCTCTTTACGATACTTGCGTCCGATAGAAGGGTCGGTGGTCGATGATATATTTCCCACCTCTCGACGAAAATCAGATGCAAATCAATCTAAAGCCGCGTTTCGAATTTGTATTCGCAGCAAATAGGTATGGTTAATCGGGCTGAGTTAACTGCACTGTAACCAGAGCCTAATGCTAATACGAGCGCGTGCATTCCTACATTGCCAATCTAATTCGCGTGTAGCATCGTGTAGCTTCTACGAGTACGTTGATTAAATCGAATTCAAAGTCTCATCGATATTCGATCAACCCTTTCCCCGTGTAAGTATAAATAGAAGAATATTTCATAGTAAGTATAATTGTAGAATTGTAAATTGTATCTGTAATAATATCGAATATTGTATAAAGGATGTATGTACTTTTGTTCATATTAAAATTAATTAAGTAATTTAACGGAAATAAATTAATTAACAAACGATGACCTACATAACAAATTAACAGTGGAAATCAATGATTATTCAACGTTCCCTGTTTCTCTGAATTTGTAACGAGCTGGAAATAATTGCTAGCGCGAATTAAAGCTGAAATGGAACGTTTATCGAAGAATAGACATCGGTCCTGCCTTTTTATTCCTTTATGTCACTTAACTTTCTCAATTTATTTTAACAATAACAGATTCGATTCTATTCGATTTTCAGCTACGCGAGGTTCGATCGATCGGTGTGAAACGCGTATTATCCTCGTACTATTCGTCAAAGTGGAATATTCGTGGAACCGAGGAATCAGAGGAGATCAGTTTCAAGCGATTTCGTGGTTGTACTGTGTCAGCTCGAGTATGCACAAACGGGCGTGCTTTGTCGCAGATGCAGCCGCTTTCATACGGTCGCGAGAGACGTCATCGAATTGACCTGAGCAATGTAAGCGAAAGATGGACAGGTGATAACCTAATCCAGCTACCTGAACGCATCGTTAGCAAAATCGATACCGGATTAATCGTCGGTACGCGTCGTCCTACACTCAACCGTTTATTACGTTCACCTCTATTGTCCATAACTAATTAACATTTCCGGAGAACACAAAGCCGGTGTAACATAATCGTTTAATCTATCGAGTATTGAAGTGTTAATTAACCATGATTCGAGCAGGACTCTTTAACAAAAATAAAAAACAACAGAGAATATCTATATGAAATTCTCGTAGAGAAATGCGAAAATAAAATATCTCGTGAGCGCAGTCTGAACCTTCGGATTGTTATAATCGAAATATTTGCAGTACCCCCGACAGTTAGGCAATAATTTCATTTGTTCGGACAGATTCGATGCATCGCTGTGTCTTTCTCCTCCACGGAATGGGAGAATATTTCAGGTGCGGTAGAAGTTGGAAATGTCTCGTGTATCTTAAAATATTGCACTTTAAAGGAGATATACTCGCGGTGTTGTTTTAAAGAGAAATAAAAGAAAATATACCTCAACGTTGGGAACACTCGCGAACGAATAACACTGTTCTTAGTTTTATTTCTAAATTTACTTTCATCGCTATTTATCATAGACAGAAAACGAGAACCCGTTTTCTCTTAACCAGCACGCTATATAGAATGAAAAATTAAACATCATAACAGTTTTCCAGATGAAATAATGCTGCCCGCTGTATTCGACTTTTACTATCAATTTAACTGTTCTGCTTTAACTTCGAAATTTCGCTCCACGATGATCGTGGAAATTCGGATATATTGTTTTCTTCAAAAGAAATCATAGGAAAGTGCTCTTGTCGCGAAATTATCGGAGCACAACCTGTATACGACGTCTGGATATAGAGTGACGTATTCTTGAAAAGTTATTGGAGCAAAGAGCACTCGACGAGCTACTGGAGCGGAATCTCTTAAATCTATGTCATCCTGAACTTTCGATTTCGTACGTCAGTCTGGCATCAAATATTTTTCTATTCTTTCCACTTTTCCAACCAACTTTTCTCTCTCCAATTTTTTGATCGATTCGCTGTTTACTTTTACTCTCTTTTTTTTTTATCGTGAACCAGATACACTTTTTAATTCCTGATCCTTTTAACGTCGTATATAGGTTTAACGAGACGAAAGGGTTTAATCGGAAAAAAGCCTTACGATATCTCGATAGAAAACGCATGCGTGCAGAAGGTGGCGCGCAGCAAGAGTCGCGTTTTCAATAGCAGTCGGCTCAAAGCCGTAGCAGATTGAACATCGCGACATCGGTTCTCGCGTTCACCCCGTGGAACACGAGGTTTCGCGACGTCTATCATCCCCATTTAAGTGTCGACAAAGGGGAACAAACCTTTTTTCATTTGCGAAAGAAGAAGACGAGAAACATCCGTGATGTAAAACTGTCCAAGATAATGGTATCGATAAAGAACCACGAAAATCACTAGCGAAGTTGAACCAAACGCTCGGATTCATTAACGACACAAGAGGACATTATTTTTTTTCCTCAAGATTTTTTGATGTAAACCAACGACGATAAAAGTGTCGATAAACAAGCCCTGTCTTCCGAAAAACCGAAGGAAAATCTCGTTCAATCTCGAAAGAAACTTGAACCAATCTCGATATATTATTTACGACACGAGTGGCCACTGCTCGGCACATTTTTTCCTCGAAGGATATAAGATTCAGAGGCAAAAACACTTATGAAGTATCGATAAAAGTCGAGTACTAAAAAACAGAAGAGGTATTCGACAGAAATCCAATAAACTTGCGTAGCAGATTGCTCAAATTTTTACTCCCTTTCTTAAATGAAGTTTGAACGAGGTTTAAAGCACTCGTGACAAGGAGTGAAAAACGAATCCTTCTAGCTTGTAAACGAGACTGGTCGGTTTCTGTAGAAGAAAGGAAAGAAGCAAGCAAAAGGCACGATTAATAGTTGGAGAATAAGAGGACAGAAGTTGGTGGCATCTCGAAGAGAACGAAGACGTGACTCGACTGAAAGCGGCAAGATCAACGAACTGGATCCAGAAGCACGAAGGTGTCGTGTACCGTGTTCCTCACATCGAGAAATCAATGGTATCTTGATCCATCCATCAAGAGGAATCGATGCGTACGACCAAGAGAATCGAAGGAAAGAATTTAAACTTCGCCACGTGATTCGGTGACTTGTTTCAACCGCGTTGCAACGTTTCGAGTTTCACGGGAACCGATGTCTGCAAACTTTTGTTTCAAATACTGCGATTTTACGTACGATTATTGGAGAAACTACGGTCAGTGAATTTAACATAGGAATAACGTACACGATGTACGAGTCTCGGCGAGTTTGCACCGTGTAAAATCATAAAACACCCAGGTAAAACTTCAAACTACTGTTGACAGATGGAAAGTACATTAGGGAAAGGAATGCGCCTCATGCACATGCATTTTAGATTATCGCGGGCTATTGGCGATCACACACTAATCGCGTCGCCTGACAAAGAAGAAAAATGTCAGCGTTGCGGCGAATTTTAAACGCGAGGCTCAAACGTGATGACAGGGCGGAGGGTGCGAAGGGTCCCGCTAATGTACTTCCCATCTCTCGACAGTATGTATATTTTTTCTATGACGAAAAACTATACAAATTACTCCTAGTTAAATTCATAAATCGAAGGATTAATAAGGTAGAGGGATCATAGTATAATATAATAACGGGTTAAAAAAAGAATTTAACCACGCACAGTATTCGTTAAAATAAATTTCTATAGAAAAATTGTTTGTTTTCAAGCGGAAAAAAATTTCATTTAGGCGGGTAATTCGTTTCATTTAAACATTCGCTACTCGTTTCAATTCGCAAACTCCTAACTGAAAGTCAAAAATCGATCGATCGATAGCAATGAAGTTCATAGGAAAAATCGATGGATATCCATTGCTTTATCAGCGTTTATCCAGCAAATAAATCCCGTGATTTAGAGAGCAGCTGCGATTCTGACGAGATTAAATTTTCAGCTGCGATGGTGGTGCACGGCAATTGTCGAATTGATTTCGCGGCAACCGGAAGAAACGTATCGCGTTTCGACGTTTTAAAACCTGTTATGCCTTTCGGCACGTTGAATTATCCTGAATCGAAAATAACTGAATTACGTTATAGAGGTGGTTCAGAAAAAATCGCGAAATTTTTCATGGCAGAGGAAATGTCCTTAAACGTGTTACCATTTATGCCATTCAAAATTAGATATTCGATGTTTGAGCGGACCGAAAGGGCTGCTCGAATGTTGTAGCGTCAGCTGACCGCAAACGGAATCTCCCTGGATTCACACTGTGGCTAATTTAGCCGCATTAGCCAAACTGACCAGAAATCAGCCAACGGGAATCCTGTTTAACAATCCACGATCAAACGAATCGCGCAACATCGAAGATCGCGAGATCATCGAAGCAACGGTGGAATGAAGCGTGTTGTAAAGTAATTTCGCGATTCGATTAGGCTCGTGATCCATTCGAGTGAAATTCCAACTAAAATTGATCGCGACAGGGTCACGGGACTAACGAGACGTGAAACACGAATCTGGAATTTGCAGCACCCCTTCACTCTAGGATGTAGTTTCCGGCCGGGAAACGGATAAGTAGCCAGATCGTGAGCCGAATTTTTCGAGGGATCATCCTTCGTATACGAGGAAAAATAAATCTTACCCTCTCCCGTCGCGTTTCGAACGATTTCATCGGGATGAAAGAATACCCCAGATGTGTCGTGTCTTTCGAAATATGTTTAACCGTATCCGCCCTTTCTTCGGCTACGTTGATACGAATGATATTTCCGAAGCAAAAAAAATCTGTCAGAACAGAGACTGAATCCTTTAGCGAGTTCAATTCTTAAGCGTCGATGGGAAGGAATAGACGGGAAACGGGTTCGCGTCCCTTCAACGGAATTAATTAAAATTTATTCGAACCGAATGCTTAGCCGAGTTTATTTCTATCCCGTCTATCTCGACGAAGACGGCATCGAAGATAGGGAAAATGAAGGCGGATTCTCGCCGTCTCTCCCTTTAGCAGAGCGATTCATTGAAATTCGTAATTTAAATAACGTCAACTGCCCGGATACGTTGGTACCACAGTTTTAGGGGTATTTAGTGTACGGCTCACGTACCAACTAGCTCGCTTAAAGATGACCTGAAATTCTAGTACGCCGTCTGCGAATGCTATGACATTCTTGCCGAAGGTTTCTCTTCGACACCGGGAACATCGCCCTACTCTTATGAAATATTTAAGCCAACAGTCGAATTCTCTTCGCTCCAGAAACGCCACGAATCGCTCGTCGGTTTGTTTTTTATCGGACAATTTAACCTTCTTCTCTGTATATTTTACCCGTAACACCGATTGTTGAAATATTTTTCCAATGATTATGCGGAACGATCGATCGTCGCGATATCGTTCCCCTCGTCGCAAACCAGCTGAACGTCACCGACCGACCAATTCATTTCCGCGTGTCCAGTCCCTATGAAAAAAGGAAATCGAACTGTACGCGAACACGGACGATATAGATGAACAAGACAAAATGGGACAGAAGCACGAACCGAAGCACGAACGTTCACTCTCATTCATTCGTACCTTCTACCACCGCTCCCATTTACTCCCGTCCCTATTTCCCTGGTGGAAAGGCCTGCCTGTTTTCCGTTATATCGTAGTTGGCCATCGGTTCTCATTTTGCGACTTTTCTCCCCTACCCCTCCCTCTTGTCTCCTTACGTTCCTCTGTCGCTCAACGAATACCTTTGTTCGTCTCCGGAATGATTATTAGGCTAGTGTATCCGAAGAATTTAATAGTGTAAATTAGGGGTGCGCGACTGCCCTACAGTTCTTTTCCCGAAGAAAAGAAACACGCGCCGAAGTTCGCTTTCGCTTAAGAATCTTTCGATCACATTTTAAACTCTTCTTATCTTCTTATCGTACCGTTGAGATCCAGATCTTTAGTTCTACTTTATATTCAAGTATCTTTTTCGATACCTTTCCGGACCCTCGGGAAAATCGATGAAGGCGTTCACGCACCCCAAAACTTTCCTCCTTGTTTTCCTCCTCGAGTACTTGAGAGTTTAATTTCATCGCGGACGAAAATACGTGATAACATTTGAAAAGATTGAAATTTCTAAGTGGAAGCCGCCGAGGGAAAGCATTTTTCTCGCGAAAAATCGAATTCTATCTCGGCGTATAATCGTTATTTCCAGCTGAAGGATCGCCGAAGGCAAGAATATAAAAGCCAATAGATTTATTCCAACGAATATCTACGATTCATTGTTCCGGTTCAGCCTCCTCTTTATCCCCGATCCCTATTCCCGGATTTCTTTCTACCCGTTCTAACTCTAAACCGCAAGTTTTCAGTTCACGAACTTCTTCCCGACACGTCGACCGCTTTTAAATTCACGGGAAACTCGTTAGGTCTCATAGAACGAATCTCGGCTACGGATCGGCTCTATTCTATAAGATTACGCCGTCCAAACGCGTGTCCCGTTCTAAGATATCCAATAAGATCTTAGATCCGTGAATGCAACTTTCAAAATCGTTTCCGTCGATTCAAGTTTTCAATAAATTCGATAGAACATTTATGAATTTTCATTATTCGAATCCTTCGCGATGATTGTTCTCGATCTGATCAGCTATCTTCGATCGGATCGGATCGGAAATAACAGGTTGGGCGAGGCACGAGGCGTTAAGCAACGGAACTCGCGTTCTATTTTATCCGGATATTGTGCGTCTCGTTAACCCAAATCCGGGATCCGTTGAAACGCGTTTGGTAAATCAGCAGCCTACTAACGAGAAAAAGCAGTGTATCCTCTTACCGTGAACCAGCTATTCGCTCGAATTCGGTGCCTGCTATCGACCGCTTTCGTTTCCCTCTCGTTTCGCTGCCACCCATCCTTCCTGCCAGCCTGGCTGTAGAAAAATCACCAGACTATTTTTATCTCGTCAAACGCAGCCCCTCCCGTTGACGAACAACGCTTAATCCGTTCCGGATTGGCCACTGACATTTTTGTCTCGCGGCTGTGTAACACACAGGCTACACGCTTTTTTTTTTTTCACTTCGACATCGCGTCAATTCCTTTCCAGACGTATTAGGTATTTCAATTTGCGCGATAAATCAGCATTTCTGGCAAGTGACGTTAAAGGACGCGTTACGCTTTCAGCCCGCTACTTGGCTTCGCTCTTCGTTCGACACTCTGATAAACGTCGCGTCTTGAAAGGCATTGTTAAGGTGACACTTTCGTGACGATCCGTTAATTGCAGCTCCTAAAGAGCGACTCGACTGATCGTACGAAAGAGGGAAAGCAAATAAAGCGAGAGCATTCAAGGATATAGAGCTATGCGCGAACGGGTTGCATGTAAGGGTTGCTTCGGTCGAGAAAGAATTAGCCTCCGTACCGTATTGTAATCTTAATTAATTTCCCTATCGCATTTGCTCATGAAACACCCTGTATACACGGAGTGTTTCAATTGTCCGAAATAGAACAGATCGTTTGAAATCGTGGCCGATAAATATATCAGAGCAATTTACACGCGATTCTAAATCGACTGTTCGCAAGTGTTCTCAACGAGAACTAATCGAGCATTGTTCTCTCTGTTCCGTTGGAATATTATTCTCATAACTGATTATTGTTCGGGGAATCGTACACGCGTCGAATGAAGTTTCGCTATAATTTCAAGAATGAATACCTAGGTACGCAAGCATGCACAGCTTTCGATGCAAGCAACAATCGAGTTCCAGATAGTCAAACACGAGGAACTGAGTAATAGATCGCCAGAGGATCGCAAACTTTGCAAGACCATTTTATCGTGTACACTGTACGCGATAGAAGCAAGCAATTTCAAAACGAAATCGAACACACAAGTTTAACGTTACTTTTCATGTGTTGTAGTAAACGCTGGTAGCGAACGTATTTAGTTAATTAATCAATCGGTTGAATGAATTTGTATTTTCCAAAGGAACCTGCAAACGCTTTGATAATATCGTTTATACAATTAAGCTCGAACAACGATGCACAGGATTGTAGCAATCCCCTGAGATTAAGCGAAATAATTGAAGATACAGACGTTACTTCAGTGGATTTCTACTTCCAACCGACTATAGAACGGAATCAAGAGTTAAATTCATTCCTGCCGACACATTTTTTCGTGTAGGAACAGAAAAAGCGTCAGTACGGCTGACGATAGACGATCCCTGCTTTTTGGAAGTCATGCACCGAGAGACCGCTAGCGAGAACAGACCCAAATTCCGCTGCCACCTGGCGGTCGCCGACCCGAGCGAAGACTCGCCGTCTTCCCCTTCCACTAAACGCCTACATTCGCGAACCCCGAGGCTTATCGGGGAAAAACGGACATAAAAACCAGT